CATTTGCTAAGCAGAACCTAAGCCTGATGCACCAATTGCACCAATTTAATTGTAACTATTTAAATATTGAAGAAAAAATATATCATTAAATAGTTAATTAGAAGGAAAAAATGAAGAAAAAATATGAAATAATAAGAAATAAATAATAAAAGCAAAAGTTGAAAATAAAATGATGAGCTAAATTAACAAAGAAAGAACAAAAAAAGCAAGCACAATAAAAAAAAAAAGAAAAAAGAGCTTTATTGTTTTTAATTAGTTTTTATAATTAAAAATATCACAATCCAAAACAAATAAACTATTTTTACTAAAGGTCAAGTGTCAAATTTGAGAGATTAATGCAATTTGCTAAAGCAGAACCTAAGCCTGATGCACCAATTGCACCAATTTTATTAAATCTTTTTAAATATTGAAGAAATAATATATCATTAAATAGTTAATTAGAAGGAAAAAATGAAGAAAAAATATGAAATAATAAGAAATAAATAATAAAAGCAAAAGTTGAAAATAAAATGATGAGCTAAATTAGCAAAGAAAGAAAGAACAAAAAAAAGCAAGCACAATAAAAAGAAAAAGAAAAAAGAGCTTTATTGTTTTTAATTAGTTTTTATAATTAAAAATATCACAATCCAAAACAAATAAACTATTTTTACTAAAGGTTAAGTGTCAAATTTGAGAGATTAATGCGATTTGCTAAAGCAGAACTTAAGCCTGATGCACCTTCATCACCAATTTAATTTGCACTTTTTAAATATTGAAGAAAAAATATATCATTAAATAGTTAATTAGAAGGAAAAAATGAAGAAAAAATATGAAATAATAAGAAATAAATAATAAAAGCAAAAGTTGAAAATAAAATGATGAGCTAAATTAACAAAGAAAGAACAAAAAAAAGCAAGCACAATAAAAAGAAAAAGAAAAAAGAGCTTTATTGTTTTTTATTAGTTTTTATAATTAAAAATATCACAATCCAAAACAAATAAACTATTTTTACCCAAGCCTAAGTGTCAAATTTGAGAGATTAATGCAATTTGCTAAAGCAGAACCTAAGCCTGATGCACCTTCATCACCAATTTAATTGTTACTTTTTAAATATTGAAGAAAAAATATATCATTAAATAGTTAATTAGAAGGAAAAAATGAAGAAAGATATAAATTAAATAGGTATTTCACTTTTGTTAATTAGGAGGAAAAAATGAAGAAAAAAATGAAATAATAAAATTAACAAAGAATGAAAAAATAAGAAACCATAAAAAAAAGTAAAAGGAAAACAAATCAAATAAATTAAAAGAACTTTAATGTTTTAAATTAACTTTTATAATTAAAAATATTACAAAATAAAACAAATTAATAGCTTTTATTAAGTGTAAGTTTTAATAGCAAAAAATGAAGAAAATATATCAAATAATAAAAAATGAATAATAAATAAATAATTAAAAATATAAATGAAAATTAAGTTAAAATATAAAAAATTTTAGTTTTATCATCAATAAAAAATGATGATAATTTGTATAATAAAAATTATTTATTTAAATAAATTGAAATTTAAATATATAAAAAATATTAATAATAATAAAAGTAATTTTTTTAATTAAATATACATCAGAATAATATCGAGAACCTAATGAGATAAAAGTGAAGAGCTTTTAAACTTTTTTTATTAATTTATATAAATTTAAAGGATATTAGTAAAAAAATTAATAATTACTTCTTCCAAATTATAATATTTTTTAATCTATTATATCATTTATTTTTTTTTCAAAAATATTGAAAAGCAATTTATGAAATTTAATTAATTAATAAATAAATAAATAATAAATGGTTAAAAAGAACAAATAAATATAATAATTAATTAATTAATTAATTGTCAAATATTAATTTATATATTTGGTTTTATGAAGAGATATACAGAAAATTAATTTAACATTCACTATTTAAAATTAATATTTTTATTTGAAATAATCACATTTTATTGATTTACTCATTTAACTACTTAATTAAAACAATTATCACTTATTATATAAAATAATAAATTTTGAAAACAAGGAATCACCTATTTTTAAAAATCCTTTATTAGTTCTTAATATTTATGATGAGCTGATCTTATTATAACTTTTTGTAAGATATTTAAAGTCTTTCGTTGATTAAATTAAAAGTTGAAATCATAAAAAAATACTTCGAGGATGAGTTTATTAGATATATTTATTCACCATTTGCATAAAATATGTCTAACTATTTTAAACTATCAGATAAAATTAAGAAAGAATTTTAAAAGAAGGTAAAATAATTAATTAAGAAGCAACCTATATATTAATATATCAAATTAATATTTATTATCTCATTATATTCTAAAAATTCATTGATATTTTTATAAACCTTTAAACAAATTTAAATTATCAAATTAAATAAAAAAAAGTATTCAATATAATTCCAATTTTATCAATATAAATGATTACTGATTTTATAGATTAATTTAATTCAACCCAATAATAAATGAATCTTATGGCTCAAGAAGGCTTTTCAGAATATCAACAATTCTTGATGTCTAATTTCCTTGATCATGTTGAGCTAGAAATTTATTTAAGGTAAAAATAAATTTAGAAAATAATTTAAAATTAATCTTTTTTTCATAATTCAATGCAAATTTTCCTATTAAAACATAAATAATTAATTATTGTGAGATTGAATAATTAATGAATAAAGATTTTTAGTTTTGGTCAACTTTAAAATAAATGCCTTTATTTTTTGTTAAAATAGAATAAGATTATTTCAATAATGATAACAATTAAATAAAAATATCAATAAAATAAATAACTTGATCCTAATTTTGTTTTGGATATAAAAATATTCATTGAAGGAAAACTAACTGTGATGATTAAGAAGCTACAAACTTAGGAGTATCATTAAGCAAATGTAATAATCTAAAAGTATTATATCTTGAATTATGGTAAATATTTAAATAAATTAAACAGTTATTACCAGTTAGTTATTTTTAAATAAAAGTTAAAACAATATAAGAGCTTAAGGAGTATCTAGTATAGCAAAAGGAATAACTAATTGTAAATATCTCACTAATTTATCAATTAGGCTTTAGTATACTAACTAATTCATATTTATTTATTTACGATTTTTTTTTTATTGATAATTGGAATATTTAATTTAATTAAAAATTTAAAAGCATAAACAAAATTGGTGATGATGGGGCAACACATTTGGGTTTAGGATTAAGTAATTGTACAGAACTTAAACTTTTGAATCTCTTTTTAGAGTATTATTTATTTATTCTTTCTTTTTATATTAAATTAAAAACATTTTTAATTAATAATTTATTATAATTTTGATGAAAAATTAAATATTAATTTTCAAATTTAAACTATTTTTTTAATCCAGTTATTATGATGAAGCTGATCAAAAATTAATTAAAACAAAAGAAATTATATGAGATTCATTTTCTAAAATTTAGTCAATTTAAAGTGATAAATTTAATTCATCAAAAATTTAAATAAATATTTTAAAAATTAAAGCTAAGCTTATTTATTCATGGAAATATTTAATAATAATTATTTATTAATTTATTTTTATTCATAAAATCTTTAATAGAAGAAATTTGAGTGAAATATTTTTTTTTAAATTTTATAATTTTTATAGAGAGAATTAGATCACTGATTAAGGAGCATAAATAATATCGAAATTCTTAAATAAATTGTAAAATTTTCAATATTTAGATATTCAACTGTGGTAAACAAACTAATTCATATAAAAAATTAATTAAAATTTATCTATTTTGCCTTTAATTAAATACATTTTAAATTATTGTAATTAATAAATTTAAGTGAAAATAATGTGGGAGATAGAATAGAATAGAAATACTCGCACATAAAAATGCACTCAGAATACATCTTAAATAGAATATTTTATAAATTATTTATTTTATATTTTTGTGTTTATTAAGAAGAACACATTTATTTATTTTTTTTTTTTTTTATTATTAAAGAAAAGCATATTTTGCTAAACTTAAGAAGGATGTCTGTCTATCAGTATAGATCACTTGTTAGAAGGATTTTAACGAATACAGTTTTTTTTTTAATTTGCATTCATTTTATTTCTTAAGATAAAATTTATTTTACTATTAAACTCATAAGATTATATGATTAGATTGATTGGTTGGTTGGTTGGTTGATTGATCAGTTTGATTGGTTTGATTGGCTTGATTGGATTATAAACCGTGATTGATACTAATATGTTTCATAAAAATTAAAAATAATTTAATGTGGGAGATCAAGGTGCTATGTTTATTGGAACAAGATTAGTAGAAGATTGTGTAAATATAAGAATTTTAGAGATTGGCATAGGGTATTAATTAATTAATAACTTATTTTAAAGCATTTATAAATAAAATAATTAATTCCACCATTAACAAAATAATAATTTCTTTAAATTTTAACATAGCGAAAATAATATTAGTCTGTAAGGAGTAGAAAACCTATTTATAAATATAAATAAATTATCTAATCTGACTTAATTGGATATTGGTTTAAAGTAAAATAAATGATAACTTTAATATTTATTATAACATTAATGTCTCTTTAAAATTAATTAATCTTTAAATATCTAACTAAATATATTAACTTTCTATCTAAATAATTTTATATTAAATTAAGTGGCAATAATATTGGAGACGAAGGAGCATCAACGATTGGAATAAAATTAGGACAATACTGAGCTATCTCTTTTTTATAAATTGGATTAGAGTAAATTATGCTAAAATTTAAATTAGTATTTCTTAAATGATCAAATTTAATCATTAAAATAAAAGGGATTGTAATATAGGAGATCAAGGACTTTTTAGTTTGATAAAAGGATTAGGAAATTGTGAAACTTTGACTACATTGAAGTTATATTTATTATATCTAATCTTTTATTTAGATTCATTTATTAATAATAAATTCAATCTTTCAAACTAATAAATAATGCATAATATTTATCATATAAATTTATTTATTACTTTTAATTTTAGAAAAAATAATATTACTGATATTGGAACATGATATTTTGCTACAGAAATTGTAAAATATGCACAATTGACAAAGTTAAAAATCTATTTACGGTAAAATTATTAATTAATTAATTAATATTTTTCAAAATGTTTGCATTCTTAAAAAAAATGAATAAATTATATTTTATAATTTAAAGATACAATTAAATTACTGAAGTTGGAGAATCAAGTTTGGCTATAGGCTTTAGCTAAATTAAAAGCCTATTAGTATTAGATATTGGATTAAAGTAAATCTATTTTTTCTCTATTAAACTTAATAGAAATAAAATATAAAATTTTGATAAACTAATTAATTTTATATGTATAAGCCTAAATGATAAAATTCTTAGATAGAAGGCATTAACAAACTGTCAAAACATTAGTATTATTAAAGTTTCATTCATATAAGTACATACTATTAGTTGATGAATTGATTCAAATAAATTTTTATTTTTAATAAAATTTAGGTAATTTTTAAAAAAAGATCTTGTGACAAATTTTGTTAATTAGGCAAAAAAGATAAAAAGATTAGTACTTTTCATGTATAGATTCTGAATCTTGAGTTTAATTATCTAAATTAAATATAATTAAAAAAATATTCTTCAATAAACAATCATTATACGATATAATCTTAAAAAACTTTACTTACTATTGAATTAATTTCTCTGAAATAAATTAGTAAATAATTTTTAATTTAGACAACAGTTAATTTTCAATTGTAAAATAAGATAAATATTATTTGTTAGTTAATTAAATATAATTAGATAGATAAAATACCTTTATTTAAAATATTTATTTGCTTAAATTTATTTATAATAGGAATAATACTATTTTATTTCAAATCATATCAAAAAATTCAATTAATTATGCTTTTTAGTATTCAAATTTTTAATCCTATGGTAGAGTAAAATTCATTTTAATCAGTTTGAAGTTTTTAGAGAACATTTTATAATAAAAAATAAGATAAGCATTTTAAAATTTATAATACCACATTAAAAAAAAATTACATAAATTCTTGATATGAAATAAGCTTATAAAAAGCCAAATTCAATATTATTTAAAAAACAATTATTTTATGATTAAAAAATATAAAATGAAAAAAATGATCATAAGATAAATTATAAATTTGAGAAAAAAAGAAGAAAAAAACATTAAAACAAATAAAGTTAAAATAAAAAGTAAAACTTGATTTCTCGCTGAGATTTTATTTAAATCATGGCATCTAATTAATCATGATAAATAAAAAAAGGATAGAAATATGATTGATGGATAATATTTAAGATTAAAATATAACCTGGCATATAAAAAGTTTGGCATTTATATAATTTAATAGGATGTAATATT